TATATATATATATGCATGCTGCTGCAGTATTATTGTCTTGTATAAAGCCTCTCTAGTCTTTATAATTGTAATCTATTGATTTATGATTGATTACGTGAGGTTTTAGCTACACAAGCCGAACATTAAACACACTGATAACCAATATATTTGATATAGTGCTCGTTTAATAATAAAATTTAAAGACTGTGTCCTCACGCTTCTTTGTTTTATAGTAAACTGGGTCTGTCTACTGAGAGAGTCTTGTCAAGCAGTTCCCCTAAAGACAGTTTCCCCACCTCTCCTCAGGTAGGTGGTCATGCTAACACGTCCACAAAGCTCTACGGTTCTTGGTGTAACTTTTGTTTTTGTTTTGAATGCAGAAGCGCCAGCCAGACTTTGACTTCACTGATCCCTTGGCACCCAAGAAAGCCCGCATCTCTCACCTCAGCAGTCGAGGGCCAGCCGCATCTTCCTGCTCCTCGGACCGCCGGGAGGACGAGGGCAGCCCCAGCTCCAAACACTCGTCTCTACCGCCYAGCGTTACTTCGGGCCCTCCCTCCCACCTGCCCATCTCATCCCACCCTCCGCCGCATCAGCAGCCCAGCCCGGCCTCCAACTCCAACTCRCCCAGCACCCCAGAGGGCTGCGGCACCCAGGACCTGCCCACAGACCAGAGTTCCTCCTGCAGAGACCCTTCGCCCGGCCCCCTTCCTTCCGACAGGACCCTGCAGGACCAATGTCGGCACCCTGTCCCCAGGGCATCTGCCTCCCCCAGCCCCCCTCCCTGCACCTCTCTCACAGTTACCTCCACYGTCATCACCAGCCCTCCCTTGTCTAGCAGCACGAATAAAAAGCTGAAGAAGAAATCCAAGAAGCACAAAGATCGAGAGAAGAATAAAGGGAAACAAACCGACGGAGCCAGATTCGCTCCTCCGATTGTAGCGGAGCAGGCAGAGGACAACCGTAGAGTTAAGAAGAAGCGCAGCGCTGAACAAGACTGTGGAGAAGCTCCTGACAAAACCTCCCATAAAGATCAAGGTATGCACCGTATTGATGATTGTTTTTYCAGCTGAGCCACACTGAATGTAAACACTGACATGTAGTTCATGTAATCGAGTCATTTTGAGGAGTCAAGTGTTTACTGAAAGATCCTCAGCAGAGTAATTGTAAACACATTTAGCACTAGTTTGACAGAATTGATCCCATCAGATAGTCGATGTACTCACGAAGAGCTAAAAACTGTTCTTGCACTATTATGAAGTTATGCTGTGGTTACAGTTTTAGTTGTTTTCTTATTACTGTAGGCTGAGGATAGGAGAATAATTGATTTATTGATGAAWGTATGCCCTGTTCTGCTACAGCTGGTGCTGCTTTGCACCCTTTCAACTGTTATGGTGATYGCACGCCGAGCAGAAAGCTAAACATTGAAAATGAGCAAGAAAAATTCATACATGCTGTGTTAATTTGGCTCTCATCTTCATGATCTGGTTGTGTTAGTCTGACACTGAGAAAAGCTAAGAGGAGTGGGGGTATTATGTATTAACGTGTGTATATATGAAGAATAAATTAGACTTTGCGTCATAGCCTATGTAAATGCCTTGAAATCAGCCTCTGTCTCTTTAAGTACCCCCTACCATTTCAGACATTCCCACTTCAGCACATTTTCAAACAATGCTTTAGGGGTGGGGTGTTTTGTGGGGCGGTAACTCGGCTGGGGACTGAGCTTCAGGGAGGAGCTAAGTACAAAAAAGGCGGAGCTTTGTACCAGCTAGCATTTAGGCAGCTCCACATGGCTACAGAATGATTTCACAAGCATGTATGCATGAGTCAAAGCTACACTCTGGGTATGTTTTTGATGAGGGAATGACATAACATGATAAAATGCTCAAAAAAGTTGATTTTTGCATAAATTGGCAGCACGACGTAGGGCTGGGCGATTAATTGGATTTTGATCTTGATTACGATTTGGGTTTTCAGTGATCATAAAAACAATGATCGAGGTTCGCAGTTTACGTCGGGCCGAATAATTTCCGAGATGCAAAAAACGTGGACGAAATCCAGTCATGGAATCCAGTGTAAAACGCGGAAGAGTTTCTGAGGTATTTTGACCGCTGCTGCTCTCACGCGGAGTGAGCTCTTTGAGCTCCCCTCCCTAAACAGGAGGAGGGGGAGGGAAAAAAAGCCGCAACTGTGACTCACGCTGCGAACAACAAACTCACTAAAAGCAACATCCTCCAAAAATATGAAGCTAAGGTAAAGTTTAGGACAGAACAAAACCCCAGTGGTTTTTTATTTATCTGTAGAAAAACTTTCCTGTAAGTTTTGTCAGCACATGATGGGCTGGATGCTGTGAAGACCACTTCCTCTCTGAGTCACAGACAGAGGGGCAGACACGCTGAAAACTCCTCAACACTCAGAAGTGAGGTGGGAGTCAGGGGAGGTTATCTGAAATGTTGTTGTTGTGTGCAAAATCAGATATTCCTTTAGTAAAAATGAAAAAGCTTTGTCCATTTTTTGATAAAGCACTGTGTGTGCGTCAACTTACATTAAGTAAATAAGCTTAGATCCTATTCACTTGTTGTTTGTAGGTTTTATGTTTCTTTATGACATATTTAATGTTAAGTTCAGTTCTAAAACATTTTTATGTTACAAAAGATAACTTCTGTTTTACACATTTTTTCTTAGTAAATAAACAAAAATAATTTAATGCTGAACCATAGCTCTTTGTTATATTAGTGAAAGTAAAATAACAGACTTTTTTATATTTCTGTGGCTATTTATTTGTTAAATTATTGTTTGGTCACTTTTTAATTACACACTGTTTAGATT